CAATACCTAATAACTTAATTAAATAAGACAGAATTAAAATTTTATTTTGAAAAAATAATTTATTAATATTTATCTAATATATTGATTTTTTATATCAGATCATATTAAATTATAACTTATAAACTTTATTTAATATAAAAATAAAAATAATTTCTTAATAAATTATAAAGTTTAATATAAAGAAAAATTTTTATTTTTATTATATTTTATTAATAAAATTAATTTTTTGATTTTACAATTATGAGAGTTATTATATTTATCTAATTATTTTTCTTTATATAATTTAAATTTCTAGCTATTTAATTAATATATTAATTATAATAATTAATAATTATAAAACTTTTAATTTTAATATATAAATTTAATTATATTTATTTTTATTTATAATTAATAATTTAAAATTATATTTTTATTATATTTTAATATTATATAAATAAATTTTTAAATATTTTTTTTGTAAAATCTAGAATAATTTAAAATAAAATATAAAATAATTTTTTTTGATAATTATATATAAAAACTTTAAATAAATATTTTAATTTATTAATTAAAAAGATTTTATTAACTTTTTCTAATATAATTTAGTTTTAATATCTTTTGATTTTTTTAATTTTTATATTCTTAAAATAATAATAAAGAAAATTGGGATCAAAATCTCTTAATAATTTTTGTTTTAGTTTTGCTAATTTATTTTTGTAATTATATTTCTTCTTATCTTTTATTTTTGTGATTAATATAAGTATTAACACATGTAAATAATTCATTCTATCTCTCAATTCTTGTTTATAAAGCTAAATTTTAAATAAAAACCTATCTTGAGAGATAGTCTTACAATATTATCCAATAAAATTAGAAATAAAATATTAAACATCTATTTTTAGTAACAAAATTTATAAGAAATAAAAAATAATTAGGCCTATTATTTCATCATCTTTTATAATAACTTTTTTAATAGTCACATCCTATAAATGTTTCAAGAATAAATCATCCGTCTATTTCTCGAATTCTCAGATTGACAAGTTTGCCTAGAAACTTTAAATTTAATACTATTGTATTTTTGCACTAGAATAAGCTATTTATAAACAAAAAATTACTAGAATATAGAAAATAAATGAGTCATTAAAATTTTAAAAAATTACGCAGGCAAATTTATAACAAAACTCGAATTATGAATTACGCCTGCATTAATAAAAATGATGAGATAAAGTAATATATATATATATATTATATAATTAACAATGAATTGAAAATTTTTAAATATATACCTTGACATCCTTGGTAGTCCTTGTAGCCTTCTTGATAGACTTTTTCGGCACTTCCGGTTCATCGTACTGCGGAATCACGAACTTTATTGCGTTCACAAGAGCTTGATTTACTACTTCTTTCTCTTGTATGTCTTGTCTGCAAGTGGGACATGTATCATTGTTATATTTCATTGCACGCACTAGACATGTTTTACAAAAGTTATGCACGCATTTAGTAGTAACAGGTTGCTGAGCCAGATCTTGACAAACAGCACAGCAGAATTCTCGCTGAATTGCTTCAATGAATTCTGATTCGGTGTAAGTTTCAGCTTCCAAAACAGTTTTCCAGGCTCGTACATTTTTTTTGTCTTTTTTGATTAGTGCTTTGAGATCCTTTGAAGGAGTGTATCTTTTTTTGAGTTTCTTGGGCTTTGGTGGGGATGACGACGATGCTAATTCCTCGTCTTGATCCTTGTCATCGTCATCATGTTGGTTTTTCATCCGTTTCTTTTGGATTGCCTCGGGAACGTACATTTCTAGACCCAATTTTTCAATTAAGGCTTTCCCCTCCTTTGTCCACGGTGCAGGTTCGTCATCATCTCGTCTCATTAGATATCGCCAAACATAGAAACCTGAGCTTCCTTTCTCTTTCCAATACTAATACGAAATAAGCAATTTTTATATATAAACATCATGAAAACTAAATAAACATGTTTTTGTACTTACTTTAACCAATTTATAAATGCCATCATATCGGTAGCCTTGTTCAGGGGCATATTTGGAGTTATGTTTTTTTAATTTTTCACCTCGTACAACTCGAATCTGCAAACTTTTTCGCCAATCATTAGCCGTTGCGCCATTCTCGCTGATAGGTGCATCACAAGTCCGCGCAAGCGCCAAATTAGTTTTATCAAGTTTCTGATCCAATGTCTGTTTCGCCATTCTTTTATTTCCCGTTTTTAAATCCCTACCACCAGCGCCTGTATAAGTGAATGTATCTCCGTTGTCTTCGTCTTCGGGATAACCACCAGAAAGGGCAATAGATACAGCACCAGTAGCAGCACCACCAGCTATCCCAGCAACAGGAGGTCGATGGATACCAGATTCGGAACAGTTTATGCGATATAGCCATGAAGAACCAACAGGTACACCAGGAATCTTTCCTCTGAATGTTGGACCGACTATAGTGCATTCTTTCTCACGACCGACGCATGCCATACCACGTCCCCAATTCTTTTCTTGTGTTGCGGAAGGCATTTTCGATTTTTTTGATTTACTTAGATCTAGTTTTTTCCCCGCGGTTAAGATTTCTTCGTCATCATGAACGCAAAACTCGCAGAACCTTAAATCAAACAAAAGATAATGTCTTTTGGTTTATAAGAAGCTTTTATTTAGATAAATCAATAATAGCAAAATACCAGCTATCCGCCGGAAGTTCTGTGATTACTGGATCCAAGCAATACCAATGATAAATGTACTGACACTCATCACAAACAATTGTACGCTCTTCATCATTCTTTTTGCCACATCGATGACATCCACACTCCTTACACTTTTTTCTATTGTTATTATTGCATGCCTCACAATAATAGACTTCTTCCTCAAAAGCTGGAACATTTTCATTAATACTCGTGCCGATTTCAGAGACGAAACTTAGGGAAGAACTCGCGACAGTTTCTTGAGAAGCAGGCTCATCAATGCTCATAAACGACGAGGAGGCCGCCTCTTCTTGAACAGGAAGAGCCTTTAATGTTACCTGAATGGTGTGCTTGTTTTTTATGTCGTATTCATGTACCGTGTTACAGTCTTCTAGTTGTTTTCCGCCGTAAAAAAGACGAAGACGATCCACTGGAAATTCTATGGACCCCAATTCCTGCGATATAAGGCTTCGTATTTCAGCAATGTCCTGACTTGGAATTGCCTCGATAATCGCCTCTTTGTTAGAAAAGGGGGTTTTGGCTATAATAAACATTTTTTAAATTTACGAAGCGAAAAATTGTAAATTAAATTGGCTGATATTAGAGTTTCTTGTAGCTACGACAAAAAACGAAAAAACGCGTAATTGTTCAAGTTGCATGAATCTCCTAAGCCGCGTTCTATAAATTAGTCGCATTTCCGTGCCCCATGTAACTTGTTATGGTAATGTAACATCAAAAATTTTATACAGCTAAAACCGACCAATTACATATGCATATTTTAAATTTTGAAAATTTTGACCTAAAATTTAAATTCGATTTACGACACTTTGCGAAAAATCACGTGATAATATTAAGTCATGTGATTACAATATTGACCAATTATATCTTATATAATATAAAAATTAGTTAATATTATATTAAGTTCAGAATTCTTCTATATAATTAATATTTTTTTGTTATATATTCAGTAACTTTTCTAATTAAACTTTTATAATATATATTTATATAATAAAAGATTTTTCTTGTAAAATATTAAATAGTTAATATAATAATTTTTGATTAAATTATCTTTCTTTAACTTAAATCTTTATTTTATACTATTTGTATAATAAATTAGCTTTTGTATTATATTTTATAAAGATTAATTTCATTCTGAATACACAGATGATTATTTATGTATTTAATATATTAAATTTAATATACTATCATATAAATAATTATCATATATATCAATATTATTAATTTAGATAATTAATATTAATTAGATTCTTTTTAATTATTCTTTTTTATTCTTTTCTTTATTATATTATTAATTATTAAATTATAATTAGTTATTCTTCAGAGATGCAAATTAGATTAATTAATTCTATTTAACTCATATATATTCTAATTATAGATTTATTATTAATTTATTTATATTTTATATTCATTTTATTTTTTATAAATAAGATTTTTCTATTTTGTAAAATAACTTTAAATCTAAATATTTTTAATTAATAAAAATAATCATAAGTTATAAAATTAAAATTATTCATATCATATTTTATCTTATTTATAATTATTAACAAAATAATCTTATAACTTGATAGTAGCAACATGATTATTATAAAAATCATCCTTTAATATCTTATATTTTACATATTATATATATATCATATTGTTGTGATATGAACTTTTAGTAGAATATTAGTTAATTTTATTATTGGTCACTTCATATCATAATATGATTGG